TTAACCTATTTCTGGTTTTTGAAATAGCTAAACCTGACCCTTTCTGATGGAACCGACGTTGATTGATTTTATTTGTTAATTAATCCAAGGAAACTGAAGAAACATCTGAAATATTGTCGTCATTTTACTAAGAAATATTACCAGACATATTTGCAAATTCAAAATGATCAATGATCAATGCGTTTTTCAGTTACGCGACATCATATATTTAATTATCTAAGCCAGTCTAAAAATCGGTTCGATTCGACTCGATTTCAGTTCAAACCGAACCGAAACCGGTTCTATGATCAGACTATGGTCTGTACCATCCCAATCACAGACCTTAACATCCCTAGGAATAATTCAACAAATACGCTCCCTCCTATTTACTGAAATTATACTATCTTTCTAAATCCGGCGTAATATCCATTCATTGATAAATAATTAATGTTACAAAACAAAAAAAAAAATGGCAGATATAAATGTGGTCTGATGGAAATGATGGAATAGACGAAGATTTAATATCACTTCGGTAGGAGATTTAAAAACCTGGTCATATCCATATTAAGGGTACGATAAGTTAACAACATATCGATAAGAATCTTTACTTGGGAATTATACATTTTAGAGCTAAAGGAGGCAACGATGGCAACGGTGGTAATGGTGGTGACGCATAGAAGAACTGAGTCGCTGTTCCAAATTTGATATAAGGTCATAATATTGTGAAATTTTTAATTAAATAAAGCTAAAAATATTTTTTTTAAATTAGTTGGCAAAATGTTTCGAGTTACAACTTTTTGAAAATTTTACTAGAAATCTTATATATATTTATTTTTAGTCATTTGTCATTTTTTTTTTAAACTTCAAAAATTTCTCATAAGTGATTGGGCTATGTATTATTAAACTCATGTTACGGATAGATCAACTATATATTTCCATAATTAGTGTTTATCATGAAGATCTTTGAATCCCACAATTTCATATTTTTCAATTTTTAATATAAATAAGAATAGAATTCATTTGTTTGTTTCATTAATTCACATTCACACTTGTGAGTGTTTAGACTCCCTCTTGTGGAAGGAGATGATGGCTTATAGGCTGACAAAGATTTTTAACGAGGTAAACTGCGCTCCCTGTCTTACCAAAGTTTTAATGATACAGTTTATAAGATTGTTAGCATAGCGAGGCTCAAGGAATAGTCGCTTAAAGGAATTTGCTTCCCTAGACATGGAATGCGAGTGTGTCACTCCCTGCTAACTTTTACATTTATTTATTTTCTTTATAATAGATAACCTTGTTTTGATCTTTCAAACGTTTCGAAAGGGTCGATTTACCATGCCATGTGGCAATTCTTTATATATTATAGCGGGTGGTGTGAAAGAGGGATTGTTTGATAAGTATGCTTAAAGCATTTTATTTCGGTTATCATGATTCCGTAGCATGATAATGATGTGATATTTTCGCGAGACGAGCTGTGATATTATTCTGATGAATACATGACAAATACTAAAAACTTAATTTATTTATTAAAAAAAAACCGATTAAAAATCAATTATAGTTGCTCATTTAAGAAAATGCTATAAAACCGACATTCTGTTTTGATTTTTACAGTTACGTCGGAACCTAAGGATTTTTTTGCCTGCAACCTTATAATGAAATGAATTCGTGAAATGTGAGTTAATTTTTTAGCTTTTTTTTTCGTAATATAGTAATGTAATCAAGTATCAAGTAATAATTTCTTAAATATTTTAAAGTTAGGTAACGTCTTAAAAGCGAGAATTCATTAGTTATTAAATTATTTTTAAAAAATTTTTTTTTGTTGATTAAAAAATAAAAAAGCAAATATTATTATTCAATTTTGAGCGTCCTTTTTTTTGTTTCGTATTTAAAATGTACTAATTTCATTAATCTTTTTTTTTTTTTATTTTGAAAAAAAAAATTTGTGTAGAAAAAGACGCGAAACTAATACTTCTAAAAAATTCATTTATTGTTTTATCGTTTTCATCGCGGTTTATTGATTTCGACTTTTGAAAAAGAATTTTTGAGTCGAAAGAATATTGTTAATATGTTGACCTGGATTTTTCAGTATCTGAAATATTCATTAGCTGCCATTTATCAAATTCAAAATGACTTTTAATCAAATGTTAATGAATAAAATCAATAAATTAGGTAGATTATTAAAAAAAGCAATTATTAAAGATATAACAAAATAATTCATGTACATTTAATTAAATACGTTCTTATTTTGAAATGAACTTCAATAGAACTTTAGAAACCTTTGATTTATTATTATATCGGTGGTGATCTATTAAAATTGAGGTTCGGATCATATGATTTATTATGTCTCGTACCTCAATTTTAATAGCATACCACCCATTAAATGTATATACCACATTTTCTCTCATCATCACTCCCCTCGAAAATAAAATTAATCTTTTTTAATTTCTTCGAATCTTTCTTCGGATTTTGGTTTTCTGGTAACGGTAGAGGCTTTAAAAAAATACCTGATTTACATGAACGTATCCATCATTTAACAGCCAATGTAGATTTGCCTCTTGAAGGATATCCAACGGAAATAACTACCTCACAGTGTTCGTCTAGTGGAACAAGTGGTGGTGAATCAGGAATGAACAATTTAACTACAAATTTGATAATATTAATAAAAACAAATGAAATCTATTGGACAAACCATCTCGTGGAAGAATTTTTGGATTGAAATCACCGTAGGAATAAGGTGCCGGTTTAGCATTATCAAAAATTCTTCTGATGTTGTAGGATTTTATTCCAATGATTTCAGCTTAATGATGTGAATATAATAAATATTTATTCTTTTATTAATTAATTATAATTAAAAATTCATACCCTACCTTCTTGGGAACAGTTTTATTCAACCATTTCATCTTTTGGATACTGACAAATATTAAAATTTGCACAAACTTCGCAGGTGATTAACATCCGATCATGAATCATTGTATACATCGAACGTCCTACAACCTTTTCATCCTCTGGTGTCAAGTGTTGTCCAATCAAATTCACGCCATTGAACACTAGTTTTTGCCTTAAAGATTAAAAAACTCGAGTAGATTCAGCAACACACGACGCGCAAAGAGCGGCTTCTCAAGTTTCCTTATCAGACAAGTTCCTGAATGCTAATTTCCCGAATATACCTTTTCCCGAAGTCAAATCTCCCGAACGCTAATTTCCCAAACTCGACCTTTTACCGAAACATCCAATTACCCGAATGCCAATTTTCCGAAATCCAATTTTCCGAATTGCATTGAAACATCCATTTTCCCGAACATCCAATTTTCCGAATTCTGATATCTCGAATGTCACAGTATACCCCAATACCCCGAATCTCTATATCCCGAATAGATAATTTCCCGATATTTATAGGAATAGAGCAAATCATATCAGATAATTAAAAGTTATAAGTTATATCTTTCTTTGGTAATAGATTACAATAAATAATTTTTGGACGTGGATGATTACATACTCGGGCAGCGTTCAAGACCATTCGGGATATAGGGATTCGGGAATATGGACATTCGGAGTATTAGGATTCGGAAAATTTGGTGTTCGGGATGTCAGAATTCGGGATTCAGGAAATTAGAATTCGGGAAAGTGTCTATTCAGGAAATTGAGTTTCGGGAAATTTGACTTCGGGAAAAGGTATATTCATTCGGGCAATCGTGGTATAACCCTCAAGTTTTATTTGGCATATCAAAATAGGAAAATAAAAATGGAAAGATCAACATCATGAGGTTCACAAGTCAGAATTCGAATGGAAATTTGAGAATACTCTATTAAATTATTTAGCATAGAAATTATTGTGGGTGTAATTTCCAAAGAAGCTTCCCATTCATCTGCAAATTCTAGTTAAATACTTAATGTGTTGGCAAAATTAAAATCATAAAATATCAGTTTCATTCTTGAATTTAGGCAGCTTGGACCAGATTATTAAAATAAAATATTTGAATGATAAAATTATTTGCATGATAGAACATTGGAGTAAACAATGGAATCGGCAAACTGCTCAAAAAGTGCGTTAGATTTTCTTAAATATAAATTGTTTGAATTGTTATATTGAAGAAAACTTAAAAGCAGAATGTTATTTTTATTTTATTTAAATATTATGGACATTATCTGAACGAAGAAATAAGTATCGGACGTGATTAAGTTACATTTTTAAAAAACATTAATAAAATGATGATGATTTTATAAAATCATTTAAAATAAATTACTTTAAATAATTTTGTTATAATATGTAACTAATTAGGCTTATTAAAACGAAAACCAGTTAAATCGACCTTATTTAATTCGGTTTTAAACTAGGTCTAGTTTTGAAAATGAATAAATCTGTGTTATCCTAAAATTAAAACCAAATTCTTTCCTAAAACTCTAAAACTTTGTCGACAACCAAGTCGTACTACGGGATTATCTAATTTGACTATTTAAATGTTATGTGACACACTGTATATGTAACATAAAGTTTTTAGTTTGCACCGCAGTTGCTGTGCCATTCGTAGAAAAGTTCCGGTCCTTAAAAATAAATCCTAGAAAGTACTATATACCAAAGAAACGAAGATTTTATTTTATAAAACCACAAAAACCACAGAATAAGTTTGTAATGTGTAATGTATAATTAGTCGAATTCACGATATTTCCGCCATAACTAAATTAATTTTAAAAATAGTTTTGTTGAAAATAAATTCAAATGCATATTTTTCTTATATACGATTTACAAGATTTACATATACATATATCCTTTCACTCAAGACATATCGGGAAGGATGTTCAAAATGAAATTAATGTAACGAATCACAAATCTCTTCTAAATCAAATTTCTTTATTAAGCGATAATATATTGTAACAATGAAAAATAGGAATATTTGATATCTATCTCTCCTTTTTTAAAAAAAAATATTTTGGTTTTTTTTTTATTATTTTATTTTTATTTTGTTGAAATTTTTCGATATAATTTCAAAATCTTATCTTCAATAAGTTATAAAAGCAAAAAAATGCCAGATATAACAATTGATGGTTGTGGTAAAGATGGTGCTAATGGGAATGATGGAAAAGACGCTTCTATATTTACTAGTTCAGGGCGTAACGCAAAACCAGCAGAAGACGGCAAACATGCAAAAATTATTAATTTAACATTATCTTCGGTAAAGGGTTCTAAAGTGCCCGGTCATATCCACATTACGGGTTCGATAGGTAACCAACGCTTCGAAAGAGAATATTTCCTTGACCTCACAGGAATGATACATTTTAGAGCTAAAGGTGGTAACGGTGGTGACGGAGGTGTAGGAGGTAACGCATCATATGACAATTCTACTTACGATTATCAAGGCACTGGTGGAAAAGGTACTAATGGTGGAAATGGCGGAAATGGTGGTCGTATAAAGATAACTACAAATGAACACGATTCTCATTTACTTACGTTGATTGGTAAATATTATATAAGTGGAGGAAAAGGCGGGAAAGCTGGAATGCATGGAAAAGGAAATCATAAATTTTATATGCTTCCCGTTAATGGTAGGGATGGGGAAAATGGAACATTTAAGTGCGGTGTTATGACAGAAGATGGTCAATGGTATGAGAAATCACCGGAACATACAAGTTTTTTGAAAATAAAAAATTTGAAATATGAACCTCAAGCAGAAAGTGGAATTTTTGAACCCGGTAGTACATTGAATATTACGAATATGGAACTCGAGAATATAGGGTCAGAACCTACTCCAAAGCATACATTGATTAGAATTGAGCTCGACTCCAAGACCAAGTGGGTTAAAAATCATTCTATATTCGCACCATTACATATTCATCCGAATACTCATAAAAGTCTAAGAATGTCTGTAAATATTGATGATTATGATGATGTCGATGAAGAACCACTTAAGGAATCGGTCAATTTAGAATTCAAGGCGATAATGACGAAAATTGAAAGACCACATCATATTTCATTTGAAGAATCCTTTGGATTCGACATTAAATATCCTATTAATATGAGTGAAGTAACAGCTATTCGTGCTCAAAGTGATATCTACGTATTATTCTGGTCCGTTAGCAATATAAGCAAGTCAGCATTAGGTCGTCAGTCAACCTTTGGACGTCAGGTTAAAACGGTTTTAACAAATGATGAATCAATAAATGAAGAGATTGATAACCAAGAAATTACATTTATCGAAGCGGGAAAATCAATTCATATTACGAGCAAAGTTAAACTGAATAATGATAATAGTTGGCATCATTTTACCGTGAAATTACAAATAGGACTGGTTAATGAACCGAACAAACTTAAATCCATTCAAAAGCGTCACTTTAAAATAAAAACAACAAGCAAGACTACCCAAGATTTTATACTCGATGCTTCCAATAATGCATGTGAAAATATTAATACCAAACAGAAAAATCTTTCCAATAAAGGGTTGATTGATATATCATTATCTTATCATTTCGATGAGCAAACGAATTTAAAAAAGGTATTATTTAGAGGTTCAATAAAGTTCAACGATGGTTTGAACATTTCTTTGGATAATTCTTTTTACTTTGGGAAAGGTGAATACATATATATCGCAAATTCAAGATTTTTACAAGAATATAATGTGACAATATCAACAAAACAGCAAGAATCTTATTTATTTAGTCTATTGAAAAATAAGTATGATGATGAAAACAATAAAATTAACTGGAAATTTAAAATTATTAACGAAAAGAAAAGTAAGATCAAAACATATAAAAGACCCTTCAAACTTCGACTCCACCAAATTGAAATCGATAGCGTTAATGATAGCGGAATTATCGAACCTGCCAGTGATATTATTAAGATAAAATCATTAAAAGTTCGTAATGAAGGTGAAATGCCTACTCCAAATAATTATGGGATTTACATAATTATTTCATCAAAGAATAATATTATTCCTAAAGATATCTTATGTACGATTACTGATTCAATCCGATTCAATCAAAATCATGAAATTAAAAATATAATTTGCAAGCGTACAAGGTTGAATAATCCTGATATAAGTATCGTTCCTTTACAATTTAGAGATGAAATTGTGCTTAATGCGGTTCTTGATTCTAAGATCAATTGTACTTTACAAGATTTTAATGATAAGAGGATAGATTTACTATTGCAGCATCCTATCTTAATTGATGAATTTATAGGAATCAGAAGACCCTCAGCAACTCAAGAAATATATAATATATTTTGGAAGGTCAAAAATATTAGTAATATCGAATTTGGGAAGAATTCAAAAGAAAAACGTCATATCGAAAGTTCTATTTATAATTATACCAACGACGATACTTTGTTTAGAAATGAAATCAACTATTTAGAATCAAATAGTAGTTATTTATTATCGACTAGAATTGAACTCAAGAAAAGTTCCAATGTTAAAAGTCATTTTGATATAAAATTATTATTGGGTTCAATGGAATCTCCTGAAGTTCTTTTACCAGTTCAATCATATCCTTTTAACCTATCATCTTTGGGTGGAACAATTTATAAGCCCATGGACTTGGTATTTGATTTAAATGCTGGACGTTTAAATTTAAACAATGAACGGGATGATTATACAAGTCCTGGAAGCGTTCAACTTAATATTTCAATACCAAATTTGGTCAAACATAAAATCGGTGATATTGCAGTGCGAGGAGCATTACAATTTACGAATGGGTGGAAAGTTAATATTAATGATTGTTTTTCATTAGGAAATACTGGTATGATTTATCTATATCCTAACGGAAGAAAAGACCTTTACAAAGGAACGATCGATATTGAAATTGCGCAAGAAGATTTTGACCTTCTTTACTTGATTGAAAGTTCTAGTTTGGAAAAATGCAAGAATCAATTATATAAAGTTATTACCAGTTCAATTTTAGGTGGTAACCAAGTTCAATTATATTACCAAATTTATAAGTTAACTTTAGTTGATTTTGGATTTGAATTTGGAGATGTAAATGGAATTTACGAACCGGGAGCTATTATTTATTTATCGAATATTAGGTTCAAAAATACTGGTGGAATGCCAACTCCTAATAATTATAAAATTTCAATTGATTTTTTAACTTCAACTGGTATATCAGTAATTAATGATAATTCCTTGCATCTATCTAAATCTATCGAACCTGCTCAAGAAATATTATTGAGTCAAGATAATGAGAAACCTTTAGGGTTTCAAATCAATGAACATAGAAACTTTTCAAAAGATAAACCTCTGGATAAAATATTCACAGTATATTTAAAAGCGTTAATTCTTGGAATTGATCGTGAGATATCTTTTGAATTTTTTAAACAAGGTTAATGTCAAATATCCAGTGCAATTTAATGATCAGATCAAATCTAATGTAAATAGAAATGTAACAAGAGTTTCTTGGAAATTAAGTAACATTAGTCAAATCGACCTAGGTTCAAAATCAAAATCGAGGAGAATTGTCAAAGTACAAATTATAATTGATAGTATATTACCGGAAAATAGTCTAAAATTTAAATCAACTCAGGGTTTATCAACCTATCTTGAACAAGAAATTTTACTATTAAATGGTAAACAAACAAAGGAAATGTTTTGTGATTTAGTCAGCACTTTATCTGAAAATGATCAAACTATTATAGAAGCAAACATCAAAATCTCCCTTTTTCTTGGAACAATTAGATCACCCCATAAATTTAATAATATTGAGGTTCGAAAGAAACCAATTAAAATATCACCATCATATAAAACAAATAATAATAGTGATTTGTTGCTAGTGACAAATTCTAAAACTACCAGAAGGGACATTGAGGGTTGGTATAAATTATGTCAGGAGCTAAATTTGACCATGTCTTTATGGGATATTAAAAAGGAAGGTCATTTCGATTTATTGGAGTCTGGTATAACGACGGATTTTTCTGGGAAATCTATAGTTATCCTTAATAACGAGTTCGAGAAAGGTAATAGCATCATAGAATTATTAAATCCGCTTCAATTTTATCAAGCGGTAAACTCCCATGATATTAAGTTTTACTTAGTCGGGACAACAATCAGTGACAATAAAATCAAGAGTTTATTCATTCCAGAAGGTTTGATACAAAAGTCAGACAATGCGCTCATAACTACTAATTTTAATACGATTAAAAATTATGTAAAAGTTCAACAAGAATCAAATACCGCTCAAAAAACAGAAATCGATTGTATTAATACGAGTTTACGACCAATAATCAGAATGAATTCGAAATCTGGATCTAACCATTATGCAAGACAAAAGGTTCAAAAATTATCGATTTTCGCAGAAAATTGTTTTAATAATCGTAACATTTTTGTATCAATACTTGGTAACAAAAGATCAAACGATCGAATTATTTCATGCAAGACTTATAACAGGACAAAAAAGTATTTGACGTACCATAATAGAGACCCAAAATCTCCTATTAATAGTAAAACAACCAAAATTGGATTATTATCTTGTATTTCTTTCACGAAACGTCTAGAACAATTGCAAGTAATGATGTTTTCACATGATAAAGCTTCAAATGAAATTTTAGAGATTCATAAAAATTTAATTGAAGTGGATCTAGCGATGGAAATCATAAGTTTATGCGAAAGACTTGAATTTGATAGTATATCTGATGATACTCTATTTACTTATTTCACATTCTTCAACAAATTTTGCATGGAATTTATTGTGGGTATAATTCCAAAAGAAGCTTCTCTTTCTGCTTCAAATTCTGATTGGATACTCAATGTCTTGGCAAAATTAAAAGTATCTGTTTCAGTACTTAAATTATTCAAATTGGACCAAATAATTCAATTGCAATATCAAAAATCCTTTCAGCTTATAGTTGAGCATACTAAATTCTTGAATATCCAGTCAATCAATGACGTATTGAAATACAAAGTGAATTCCATAATGGAACATTGGAGTAAACAATATGCTCAACAAAATGTATTAAAATTTGTTAAATATAAATTGCTTGAATTTTTATATATTGAAGGAAACTTGAAAACAGAATGGAATTATTTAAATGATAGTATGGACATAATTTTGAACGAAGGAGAATATAATGATTATAATAACTTTCATGTAATAGCTCATAAAATCATTGATGAGTATAGTAAGGATTTTAAGGAAGAAATTGAGCTATTAGCAAAACAAAATGCTTTTATATTACGAGACATTAAGGATGGAATCATAATTATTAGAACCGAGAAATTTAACCATGGATCTGAGAAATTTGATAAAAACCACGGATCTGAGGAAATTATTAAATACCTTGGATCTGAGGAAATTAATGAAGACCATGGATCCGAGAAAATTAATGATAAAAATCTTGGTACCGAAAGTATAAATAAAGATCATGGATCTGAGTTTGTTAATGAGAAATATCTTAGCACAGGGAAAATCAATGAAGTTCAAGAGTTACATCGAACTCTAATCAAGGATTAATTAATCATAATATTGCGGATAAGATTAAGAATGGTTTAGATATATTTTTTTATTGTATTTATTATATTATATTCTTAACAAATAAAGTCTATGGATTTTTAAGTAAATTAAATCAAAATTTATTTGTGGATGTTAATAATTTAAATTTGATCCTAAAATATTGTCAATTTCAATTTAATTATATGTATTTACAAACATTTAAACTATTCTTTTTTTAATATATATCATTACATTTTTATTATATTTATTAATCATGATGTTAGAATAATTTTAAAGAAAATTTATTTTAGTTAGTATTGAAATCAACTTTTATGCTGAATAAAAAATTTAAAATAATATTTTATCATATTTATTTTCTTTTTTACGAGTTTTTAAAAATAACACACTTTTATTATAAGTAAAATAATATCTATTTACATATTAAAAGTCTGTTTTGTGTCGACCTGGTATCATTATTCCCCTTCACTAGACCTACACTACGCATGTAAAATGAATACTAGCATTAACAAAAGATGGAGAAAATACTGTGATCTATATTCCTTCATTATCTCCTTCTTAAAGTAAATTCCTAAAAACAAAACAAAAAAGTAACCCTTCAAATATTATTACATATTTTCTAAAGAAATAACTATAGAACCTAATCACCTATACTAAAGAATTTACAAAAAGAAGCAACCTAAATATTACTCTATTAAGTTCCTAAGTTAAGTTGTTCAGTCAATTCTGGCATGCTTCTAAGGATCTAAAAATAAAGTATAATTCAAAAAAAAATCACAAAAATTAAATAATAAATTTTCTTTTATAAAACTTTTTAAATAAAAATAATTTAACCTTTTATCATTATTATCAATATTATATCAATATCTAATATTAATATAAATATCATATTTCAGAGTTTAATTTTAATGCATAAAACTGGTTTAACATAATCATTTAATTTAATTCTTTTCATTAAATTTGAACTTTCATAATAAATAATTTTATTAAAACTGGTTTTTGAATTTGAAAAAACTAGATCCAATTTTATATTATTAAAGTTCTGAATAAGTTTAGTTAAGATAGTTTTTAATGAATTTAACTTAACTTAAAAAAATTGAATCAAGTCAAAAAATTTTTAAATCTCAACTCAATTTGACTCAAGTTATATTTAGTAAATAAAGATGCAATAAATAATTTGTTTTGATAAATATATAAAATATTGTTTTAATAGAATGCATTATTGCAATAAAATAATAAAATATCATTTTAAAGAAATAATAAATAATATTGATATGATAGAATGATAAAACAATCATTTTGATAGAATGATAAAGTATTATTTTAAAGAAATAATTAAAAGAATATTCTATTAGAATGATAAATTAACATTTTAAAGAAATCATAAAAGAATTATTCTAATAGAATAATAAAATAATCATTTTAAAAGAATAATAAAATATATTTTAACTAAAGAAATAAAAAAAAATTGTTTTGATAGAATTATAAAAGATCATTTTATCAAAATGTTGAAAGAAATGATAAAAGAATTATTATAATAAAATAATAAAATACCATTCTAAAGAAATAATGTATATTGTTTTATTGAAATGATTTTTTTATATTTTTTTTAAAAAAATTGTTAAATTTTTACTTGATATTAGCTCTACTTTGGCTTAAGTTTTCTTGACTTTGAACTTAACTTTGGTCTTAAGTCAAGTTAAACTTAACTTAAAATTCAACTCAAGTTAAATGACTCAAAATTCTTTTGACTTAACTTGACTTAACTCATTTAACTTAAAATTTGAATTGATTCATTTAATATTATAACTGAATTTAAATCGATTTACATCAAATCAGTTTTAACCTTTAAGTATTTTTAAAATTGAAAAAATATTTATTATTAATATTTTTATATAAAAATATTTTTTTAAAATAATTTTTTTATAAAGTTTTAAAATTAACTTTTTTTTAAATATTAAATAAATTTTATATATAAAAATTTATAATTTAAAATTATAAAATATAATATAGAATTTTATAATATAAATAAGAAATTTATTATGTATTACCATTAGTGTTCACTATTGAATTCATATACTTTATATATTTATATTGCATAAATTATTTGTTATATCATGTTACATCTCATTGTTTTTATTTTTATTATGTATTCTAGGAACTTTGAATTTTTTTACTACTAAAACATATTTGTTTTAACTCCTTAAATATCATTAATTATATTAATTATATAAGATAATAAAAAACTTTTATAAATTTTATTTTAACAATTACAAACTATATTTTTAATAAAATATTCTATATATAGTATTACTAAATAAATATTTATAAAATATAAATAAAATAAATAATTCTTTAATTATTTATAAAATAAATTAATTTATTAAATTATTTATTTAAAGATAATTTAAATCTTTTATTTTAACACTTTGAATATTTAAGGCTTCTATTAAATTAAATAAATATATTAATATTAAGAAATTATTAAAATTAATGTATTTTATAAATTTAATATAATATAACAATTACCAATACTTTGACTAATTTCTAAATCTAAAATATTATTTAATTTTTTAGAAAAATTAAGTAATTGATTAGTATGATATGCTTGTAAAAGTGATTTAACATTAACTTCATTATCATTAATAACATTATTATTTTGTATTTTTTTTAATACCTTATCTGCTTTATAAAAATCTAAAATATTATTCTTTTAATTCTTTTTTATAATCTTCATTAATAATATTATCTATCCAATTTTCAATAATCTTTTTAATTTCTGATGCAGTTAATCTTTTTAATGGATCCATATCCCAACATTTTTTCATTAAATTTATATAATATTGTGAATTTTTTTTAATGATTTTAGGACGTTTACTTTTGCAAATATCTAAGCTAAGTTGAAAATTATGAGCTTCATTATTGAATAGAGGAACTCCAGATATAAATTCCCACATAATTATAGAAAAACTATATATATTACTATCTAAAGTATAAGGTTATCCTCTTAAAACTTCAGATGCTACAAATGGTAAAACATCATAAATATCATTATTTTTAGATGATTGAAAATATTCTACAGATTTACATAAACATAAATCACTAATAGATAATACATTTTTTCTAATATTTAAAATATTGCCATGATGAAAATCATAATGAATAAAACTTTTTTAATATATTTCATCAAGTCCACTGATAATATTACTTAATTGTAATAATTTAATAATTCATCTATCTTTAATTATATTTAATAAATTTTTCTTAAATTACTATTTTCTGCATATTTCATTATTATCATATAATTTAATGTATTTGGATCTTGAGTAAATCCATATAATTGAATAACATATTCTTTTGAATATACTTTTAATTGACTATAATACTTATAATGATATTTCCACTAAAATAATAAAAATTTATTTAAAATTTATTATTTAAAATTCAAAATAATAATTAATTTCATATCTCATTTAAAAATCCTTCATTTAAATTAGATGATTTATTAAGAAATTTAAGAGATACTTCTATTTCTTTACTTCTGGTCCAATTTTTTTTATCATATAAATAAGATTTAATAAATCCAACTAACCAAATAGCTTTATATATAATGTTAAATTCCCCTTTATCAAGATATTTAATATTTACTAATTTATTATAAGGAATCCATTCTAATATTTGCCTTACATTTTTAGCATTCAGTTGAATTTTTTGAATAAATTTATCAATAAATCCATTTTTACTAGTCCAATTAGAAAAATTTTGTTGAAGCAATTTAGAATTACATTTATTGCACCATTAAAATCCAGTATTTATTTTTTTACAAATAGAGCATATTACTTTTTTTTCTAAATAAATATTATATATTATTAGTATTATTATTATAATTTTAATTATATTAAAATTTTAAATTAAAACTTACTAATTGATTTTGGATATTTTGACTTGAAATTTATAGTAAATTTAGTTTATGACTAAAGATTATGCAAATAAAAATATCTGAATCAGATTCGCATAAGTAAACTGATTATTGATAAACTTATTCTCAACAAAAACTTCTGTAATTATTTTTATAATTTTATTATAATTTTAACGAGTTTACATATACTGAAGAATAAGTTAATTCTAGCAGGAAGGTTTTTATTAATATTATTTCTTAGTCAATTAGTCAATTATTTTACAAATTTTAAAAAATACGAAGCAGAAATTTTGCTTTCATTAAATCATAACCATTTCTTTTGAATATATATATGTACAACTATTAAAGTAATAACATGCTAGATGTAAACAGATTTTAAACTTCAATTTTGTAAAAAATGATAATAATTTTTAATAGATAAAGAAATTTTGTAAAAATACATGTTTACAATCAAAATCACATGTTATTTGATAATTATTGCATAAATCGACAATTAAACTTTTATAGATTATATAAAACAAATTATCTATAACTAACATTAGTCTGAAATTTATATATAATATATCACATGACTTACACATAACTTTAATAACAAAATGTATATGAAAATTATCTTTTATTCTTTATTTAATTTTTCATAAACATATTCTGGAATCCTTCTATAAGATTTATATTTTTTTACTGCATATTCAGCAAGTTTACCTATTATTTCATGCCTATATATATTTATATAACGCCATGATTTTCTTGCAAATCGACGAATTGTTATTATTTCAACAGAAGCCAATGCTTTTGGAACAATCTCTTGTAACCCTTTCCATGAATAATTGCAATTTTTTCTTACAAATCATTTGGCAACCCCCAATATCATTCAATAAAGTTTAATTCACAATGAAATTTAGGAAGAAAAATATAGATGTGATCTACCTTGTCAATTACTTCAGCCAAAGCTCCTTTGTGAGATAAAAAATCTGGTTGAAGAGAAATGATTTTATGCCTATAACAATCTATATAATTAATATCTTCTATTTTTTCACGACATAATTTACATTTACCAATCATTTTATTTTCATAATTCTCATTCTATTAACTTGTTTAATACCTTTTGACTGACTATTATCAAAATTCATTTTTTGAAGTTGATTATTAGGTCCTCATCTTGTATCTCTCATTTTTGAAACATTTTTACCACTTGAACCAATATTTATTCTAATTAATACAAGAGTATCTGGCATAAATGCTGCATGTTTGAACTATTATCAAATATAAAAACTCCAATACATTCCAGAAATATTGTTTTAAAAATTGGAATTGCTTTTAATTCAACTTGTTCTACTAAATTTTGGCTTGTCAAATATCTCTCTTCATGTTTTCCTGGTTTTAAAATTACATGTGTTTTTTCTGGAATTGTTGGATTTAAAGAAATTTCATCTTATGTTAAATAAAGAGGACCTTGAGCTTCAGTTAAAAACTCACTAATCATAATTGATTTTTCGTTTCCCTTTTTACGCAATGGTAATTGTCCATCTTGAACCCAAACTCCACGCTTTCCATCATTAGAATAAAATATACTTTCATCATAAACAATTAAAATATGTTAGCGTTCATTTTCTTTTAATTTGGTGGAACCGATGCATATCTTCTCCTTCATAAGTTGCTATTAAAGATTCATATTTAGCCATCCATTCAAGAAATAATTTTCGATATTGAACAATATCATCACGCTCATGACCATCATAATAAATTCCTTATTTGTATATTTGGTAATTATATCCTAAGATATTAAGCCAACGTTGTGTAGTTGAAATCGAAATAGTTTTTTTTTTGTAATTTCAAGACTAGGAACTAATTCTTCTTCAATTAAACTTTTAAATATGTGAGTTATATTGCCACCTTGACTTCTAATCCATTGATGACATTTTTCCGCAACATCTTCATCATCTATTAATCATATTGTTTTTTGATGCTGACCTTGTAAAGAAATTAAAAATTTGTCATATTTTAACCAATATTTGGCATCCTTTCTAATTTTTCGAAGTTTATAAGGACCATAAGAAAATACATCATTTTTGCCACCTCTTCTTCACTTGCTACCATTTTCTTAACGCCATTTATTTCAGTTTTCATTAAATATTATAAACTGCGCATTTTCTATTATATTCAATAGCTGGCATTTGTCTGTATTTTAATTCAAGTTCTGTTTTAAATTTTCAATCGTTGACTGACATCCTCTATTGATATTTCTGATGCTGGAATTATGGATGTTAAAAAATTGGGTAATTTTTGATGTTCCTTTAGACGCCTTAGTCCATATACCACTTGGACCATACTTATCATAATAGGTTGATTTCGGGGTTTTTTTAGTTAGGTAAGGACCACGAATTTTTTTTTCTAAATGCGTATTTTCTTTCCAACTTAAACCTATTTCCAACAATCGATTTTTAATCCCCTATTCTATCTCAATATCACTTTCCGATTCCCAGCCACTATCTTCTTCATCACCCCACAAATTTCCTCCATTATCATCAAATATATTTAATATTTCTTCTTCACCACCACCTTCAGAATTATTTTCATCACCACTTTCAAGTTCATTTAGCATTCCTTCTTCACCATTACCACCACTACCTTCAAGTTCATTTGGCATTTCTTCAGGTATTTCTTTATCGGCTTTTAAGATAAATTTCCACTTTTATTACATGCACGTTGTTTTGCAGCACATTTTGCTTTACTTAGGGATGGCATTGTAATATTGCAATCAAACAAAATCTAAAACAAAAAAATAAAAAACTACATGACCCCATTTTAATGTATTGTTTCTGGAATTTAACGGAATGTGCCTCATTTTTTTGGAATTCAACGGAAGAATAGGTTTTAGTGAGGAAAAAAAAAGTTTTTTAAAAAATGGTTTTACAAGAAACCATGATGCAGGGTTCTTCCAGAAAATTTATGTAAAATAAGTTGGTAACCAACTGAAAAAATAATTTTCTGAGGAAAAATGAAAGGATCTTATTGTTATGATCGTAACGCAACCCCCTTCTGGGTAAATTCGGAATTAACATGATTATAACGGAAATTCACGGGAAACTAGTTAACTTTATTAGTAAAATAGCAATTTTTGAAGTATCATAATTCAAAAATATTATAAAATTTAAGCTATAAATATAATAGTTAATTTATTATAAAAGTGGTAATATTGTTATTCTAATATTATTAAAAAAGTTATAACATTTAAGAGATTCATTAAAATTTTTGACGGCTATAGATGATTTGCACCATACCTGCTACACTACATCTGGTTACTGATCGCTATAAAACAGACCAAAAAAAGTTTGCTGCCTTACAAAGAAAAATGACTGCTCAATTTTTTTCAAATTTAAGTCAAAATTATATTGAATTATTGGATGATGAAGAATATTATGATGTTACTTTGGAAGTTGGTGAAGATCCTAATGTAAAAATCTTCCGTGCTCATATGAATATTTTGTTCTATCGTTCTCCATATTTGCGTCGAGCTTTGGCTTCAAATAAAGAACGTAATGAGAATATCTTGACTCATTTGAAATTGCCAAACATTACACCGGAAATCTTTCAAATTATTTTAAAGTAAGTGTTACATGCTACTCACACTTGTATGTGATAAATTGAATATTTAAATTGATCCTTCTTTACAGATATATTTATGGTGGCATTCTTTCATTTAATGAACAAGACGTTTCAGACATTCTTAAAGTCTTGATAGCTGCTGATAATCTATTTCTTCAAGAATTAGTTGAATACCTGCAAAAGTATTTAATAGAAAATCAAAACGAATGGATGGAGCAACATTTTAATCTTATTCACCAAGCAAGTTTTCAATCTAATAACTTTTTAGACCTTCAACGATTTTGTACAGATTTAATAGCTAAATCACCTGAAAAAGTATTTAAGTCACCAGACTTGTCTTTTCTTTCTGAAATGTCTTTAATATCAATCATCAAAAGGGACGATTTACAAATGAAAGAAATTGAAGTTTGGGATCATGTATTAAGATGGGGAATTACACAAAATCCAACCCTTATTACAGAACCCGCAACTTGGACGGATGATGATTTCAAGGCAATGGAGAATACTTTACAACGATGCTTACCTTTGATTAGATTTTTTAGTTTATCATCTAAAGAATTCACACATAAAGTTCGACCATTTCAAAGGCTATTCAAGAGTCATCTTTATGAAAATTTGTTAAATTCTTACTTGGATCCTGATGGTGAGCCAATAAACGACATTTTACTTCCCAGGAATATCAAAAACGATCAAATCATTGATTCAAAAATCATTAATATAAATATTTTTTCAATGATTTCAAGATGGATCGATAAATTGGACGTTAATATTAAATTCTCTCATTCAAGAGAATTATATTTACCATATAAATTTAAATTGTTATTGAGAGGGAGTCGAGACGGATTTACTCCTAAAATATTTCACACATTGTGCGATAATAAACCTATCACTGTCACCTTCATTAAAATCAAAGGAACAGAAGAAATCATTGGCGGATACAATCCTCTAATATGGAAATCTGCTAATGAGTGGGGTAAAACTATAGAAAGTTTTATATTTTCTTTTAAAAATAAGGATAACATTATAAAACATGTGATATTAAGCAATGTTAAGAATCCAGATTATGCATTATGTTATTACCACAAGTACGGACCATATTTTGGATATGATCTTAAAATGCGGTCGTCAAGTGAACTAAATAGTTACGATTATATTACTTGTCGAAAACATTATTATGAAAAATTATTAAGAAATAATGTAGAACAAATTTCTATTGAAGATTATGAAGTATTCCAAATTATTAAGTAAAATTTCGGTTTTTTTTATTTATTTTTTTTTTGTAGAATAAAAAAAATTCACAGCCTTATTCGAAATGTTAGTTTAATTTTTAGAAGTTGAGTGCGCTATGATTATTTGATATAAATTAAAATAAATATATAATGAATATTTTGAAGAATTTTAATAGTATTGTGTCTAAGGTTACCGAGCAAAACCTAATACATTTTGGCAAAATTCGAAACTTTTCGTAATTATTTTAACAGCTTCGACAGATTTCGAAGTTTCGAGATTTCGATGATTTCGTCGGGTTTGACAATTTCAATAGTTTAATACATGAAAATAATAAAACAGGGAGTGCTGATGATAAGAATTAAGTTAATAGATTTCCAAAATGTTCGAGATAGATTCTCTGCAAATGTCGTAGAAGTTTGTCCACTGGCTCAAAAAGCTACAATTCTTCAGCAATTGCTTCTCAGTTAAAACGTATTTACGAAAACTTTAAACATACAAATTATCTTTTATTATAGAATGATGGTTAGATAGTAAATAATAATAATAATTATTATTATTTTAAATTAATAGTCAACAAAGCAAACTCTAAGGCTTTAGTAATTTTCAGCGAATTGATGCCATATTTTAAATTTTTTAAGCTATCCACACGAATTAAACTCATTAAAATTAGTTTGTATTGTTACACGCAGTTCGAGACGTTTATTAATTATAAACAAAAGAAAGGGTAAGCAGAAGGTTTATTTATTTAATGACTTTATTAAAACAAATGAAATCTAACATAAATCTACGTAAATAAGGTATTGACTCAATCATACGATCAGATACGTATTTTATTATATACTTTCGTTATCGTTACAGATAAAAGGGAAAAAAAGGGGAAGGGGGATATATTCCATACCGCAATACATTCTATTTTACTCAAGCGAAATCCCATCTCTTTTATACTTACAATCCAACAAGGACTAATTGTCCAGGAGCCTTTTTGTTCACGAAACCGATTTTGCCAACTTTTTACGATTTTGTGTTGACGACATTCACCATCCCGCCAACCCATCCTGGAATCCCTAGCCAGGAGGCATATTGGCCGGAACCTAATAGAACATGATGGAAAACTGTATAATAAAATCACGTAATTTTTAAGATTTAATTTAAATTTTAAAACATTTATTATTTATTTATTTGATAAAAATTACTTCCAATGAAACATTTTGGTGGATTCAATTTATTTTATAAATATTCAATTATCAATTAATTACAATCTAACCATTTGATAATTTAGGTGCGAGTTTGAAAATAAATTAGAAATTATTGTAGTTATATTTAAAATAAAATAAGTTTAATTGATTATATGAAAGTTTAATTTTTATTTTGTTTACGATTGTTATTAATATTTTATTGACAAAATTAAATAATTAAATTAAAATTCTTAAATACTATCGCTATCATTTATTAAATAATTTAGAAATCTATTACAAACCTAACCGCTTAATTTTGATATGCATTTTGATTCATATTTTGGAATATAAAATTTATTAGACTATACTTTATAATTTATAAAAAAAGGACTTTTATTAAATTCCATCGATAAGAAGGGTACATATCTTATTATCAGATATTTCATTTTTTTGGAATTATTTTGTTTTGGAAAACTAATCTCCTAAATTGGTTTATTTAGGACAAAAAAAGTTGAGCTATCTACTGCTCTTATTATCGTTCACATCTCCAACATGATTTATGAGAATGCTTTAATAATTCAAAGCGCGCACTTATAAGAACTACTTCTTTCGTCATCATCTTAGTATCTAAAAAATTGATTATGTTTATTAATTGAGGAATCGATTTTCACTTGTCGTGAAAGTTGATGACTTATTTCGATTATTCACATCGACACCAGCTTTGTCATGTTTTCTCTTGTTATCCATCATTAATTTCATAACAAAATGATATGGAAATTAATATTCAACAGTTCCATCGGCTAAAATAAATTGATTGGGCACGATCACGCTCGAGTTTATATTTCTAAAGGGATATTGATATGCTAGACATATTTCTGACAGACAAACTGACTTTTATAATTTTAATAAACAAAACATGTCGTCTTAATACTACTAACCATTAAGATTGTAGTTGTTCTGAATTCTATAAATCGACCTTTTTGGTGCATCTTTTCATACACCATAATTGAATGCGTTTTAAGGTCAATAAAAAAAAAAATAATGAATGCAAGGAAATAAATTTTCATAACCACTCTTTGTTTATCCAAAAATATTTTTATTTACTATGAACTTGATCCAAGTTTAAATAATTCATATTCGTTATAGTAAATAAAAAATGAGCAAATTTTTTTTTTAAAAGAAAAAACTTAACTGCGCCTCGTGTTTCTCTTTTTGATATAATTTTTGTTATGAATTGACTATATTAAAAAAATATACTAAGCAAGCATAATTATTTGTAAGTAAATAATTCGATATTTAAATTTTTAAATAAACGCGTCAATTATTGATTTATTATATTAGAAAATTAAATCACGTGATATATCATTTGATATGACATCATTTGACGAAACAACTTAAGACAAATAATATTAAAGGGCAAAGGGCGATATTACGCAAAACTTTATTAAATATAAGAAAATGAATACAAGATATATAAAAAATTAGATACATAAAGGAATAAAGAAAACTATCTAAAGACTATAACTAGTGAAGGCACTTCGACGCAAATTGAACATAGGACAAGCGAACCCATATTTTCTACTTGCTTTGTCAATAGTACGAAACGAGAGGATACCTTCGTCTATATTTTTGAACGACAGTTCAGGGAGTGAATTCACCGACCAGCAGATATATCACTTTGACTGAAGTTCTTTTAGTTGCTATATATTATTATTGTATTTATAATATTAAATTTTTTTTTTAAAAAAAAGAAAAATCTTCGTGTTATTCTTCGGACTTGACATTTTTTCTTCGTTAAAAATAGATTTCGTGTGACCTATTATAAAAAAAAAATATCGTTAGAATTTTAGATATAAGAAAATTAGCAATCATTTCAGTAGTAGGAGAACTTTTTGAAAAAATTTAGAGATATTTGAAAAATACACGTAAGTAAACAATGTAAACAAAACGGAAATGTCGATCAAAAATAGAACAAAGCTAAATTATTGGACAAAAATGATGTAATAATTTTATAATATATGTCGGCTATTAAAATCTGCAAAAGAGTGTTCGTGATGTCATATAAAAGCTGACGTTTTATATCTTATGTACTTATGTACAAAATACGATATACTTGCTGAGTTTTCAGATTGTCTATAAATTATTAAAAGCAATAACACGTGACGTGCTAATAATCCTACCTATATATTTCAATTATTTAATATTTACCAACTAATCCATTAGGAGGAATGGGACAAGCACTTAATCCTTTGGGAATTACTGGAACTTTACCACCAGGAGGACAATAATAATCAAAGAAAAATAATTTTCTTCAGTAAAGGACAAAGAAATTTCCGAAAGTCTTCAAGATTGAAACGTTACTATATCGGAACAATATTAGGAGCCATTCACAGCATAAAGCCTGTGAACAGAAAGGTTGGTCAAGCATTATGACCAAAATTATATTAATATTTTTGATGCGTGTATAACATCAAATCA